TCCCCACTGGGTAAGCCACATGGAATAATATCAATCTTTACAATATGATTTTTAAAGAATCAAACCATGTACCTATTACATCTAAATACGAGATAGACTCTTTCCAAAATTTTTAATAATCTACTACGATTAAGAATTCCTTGGCTCCATGATTATTTTCCCATGCGATGTAATAAAATACATTTGCAATTATTCCTTCCTTTATCAAACTCTCCACACACACATAAACGAGATCCACGCGATGGCTTTAGATCTTCTCAATACTGCAACCTCGTATTTTCTTTCGATATTGTTGCAAAGTGACGCTTGCAGACACACAAAGATTAGCAGATAAGGAAGTCTGGCCTCCTCTGTACCTTGAATATTTTCACAATCAATAAAAAAAACTACCTGATATGTTCTGTTATCTTTCTCGACTTCAATGCAAAGGCAAGGATGAACATAGAAATTAGCAATTACAAAAAGAAAAAAAGTGACTGGGAAAAACCTTCCAGTCAAATACACATACAAACAAGACTGGAATCTCTCTAGTTTAGATAAAGAATCCTCAGTTCAGAAACACCGATATGCGCGCGCGCAAACACACACACACACACACACACACACACACACACACACACACACACACACACACACACACACACACACACACACACATATATATATATATATATATATATATATATATATATATATATATATATATAACAAAGAAAGAGTTTTTGTGGAATGATATGATAACGTTTTATACTTTCGTTTTATCTTTCCTCAGTAATACTCTTTTAGCTTTTCAAGCTTTGGCTGCAATGAAAAAAGACTGCTTCCCCAGTCTTGACTAGAGTGAACTCTTCATCAACAAAGCCTTTGCAGCATAATGAAATAAAAACATATCTAAAGCAATGTAATGTTTTGCATATTCTCCATCCATACTTACTTCAGCACTTAATAATGTAGTTCTCAAAACTGAGATATTTTTCCCGTTATCTTTGTCCTAAAATTGATAATGAAGCAATGTACTCTTAATCTTCATGACGTTAAAAATGGCATACCTAATTATTTGTATTTGCTCACAGCTTGATCATAAAATTACATAATCAAAATATTGTTTATTCATACTAATGGTATTTCTCATGAACCGTGCTATCCAAAAAAAAAAAAAAAAAAAAGAAAAAAAAAGAAAAGAAAAAACTACTAAGACATATAATGAAAACAGTATTCCTGGTTGTAATATTTTGTTTATATAGTATTTCTTATGACACTTGGTTTTCAGTAAAAATAAGCAATACAATGTCATGAAATTAGAATATTACATCCAATTCATGATTTACATTTCCGCTGACACTATATATGAATATCTTATCACTAATAAAATACTTACAAAACACTCAAGCTTCTTATTGTAATTATAAGAAACCCTCAAAATTATCCAAAATTTTCTAAGATTACTCCAAGATATGTTCAGCTTTCTCAGTGTGGGAATGAAACGACTCCACTGGCAGTTACTATCAACTGAAACCCATTCAAAAATTGCGTCAAAAGCCAAGGCAGTCAACCTACATTCTCCGAGCTTTCCGAGTCTACTGGGTTCGGAGGCATGACTGGATCGCCCCAGTAGTCAAACACCGTTAGCGAAGGCTGCTCTTCTACGATACGCTGGAGGATGGTGTCATTGATAGTATTGCACTGTTCCAAGTCCAGGATGAGCAGGTCTGGCAGAGCGGTTGGAACGTTAATGAAGGAAGTACCAGTGAGTTGAATCAGGCCTACTAAATCCAGTACTCGAAGGCGTGAGCAGTTGGACACCAAGGCAGTGATGCCCACGTCGGTTATGTCCCAACACCAATGCAGGACAATATTCGTAAGATGTGGGCACTTCTCCGCTACTGCAAATAACACATCGTCGTTCATTGAGCTGCATTCTCCTAAGTTCAAGTGAGTCAGGTTAGACAAGTGGCCGCTGCTAAAGAAGCTTTGTAAGCCTTTAGAAGTTAGGTGGACGCCCTTACGGAGCTTCATCCACGTCAACTCACACAGTCCCGTAATGCCAGACAGCCCGACATCTGTCATTTGCTCGCAGAATGAAACTCCGAGCATTTTGAGGTGTTTACAAGCTGCCAGGGAAGTGTACGAAGCATCTGTCAGATTTTCTCCGTCCAAGAACAAGAACTTTAGAGAGGGACCAACTTCCTGTGTTAGGCATACTACGGAATAGTCGTAAATTTTTGTAATGCCGTCTATGTTCAAGTATTCTAACTGGCGACATTGTTTAGCTATTGCAACAAGGCCCAAGTTATCCAAAAACTGACAGTGTGACAAATTCAAGTGCCTCAGGTTATGAAATTCTGCAATTGCAAAATAGCACTCGCTGCAGCTGATTCGAGAGCCTTCTGCATTAAAATGCCTGACATCCGGACAGTTCTCCACCAAAGCCCTAAGAACGTCCTCATTCAGTCCGTCACTAAATTTAGCTGTGATATCCCGGAGCTTCTTGCAAGAAGTG